AAAAAAAAAAGAATTCTTCATGCTTAAGGATTAAAATAATTAAAAAAATAAAAAATAAAACCAAATTAAAGAAAAATTAAATAAACGTAAAACTAATAAAGCAAAAAGAAAAAAACGGCGCAAAGCGGGAAGACGGTTTCATAACCCTAAATAATGAACACATTTTCTAAAACAGTCCTTAAGGTTTTCTGTTCATTCAATATCACCCCTTCTGATTTATTTTATTATACTTATTTATGCATTTGATGAATTTCTTTGATTTAAATTTGGTCCATCTTTGAACCGTATCTCTTGAATTGTTTATTCACATAAAATTGATTAAATGCTCTAAAATTCATCATTGTTGATGTTTAAGTTTCAAAGCAAAATACTTGTTAAAACCCAAATAAAGCCGCAAAAATACTGAAGTAATATTCTCAACGATGGTTATACGAAAATTAACTAAAGACTATAAGGGTGGTGCCTGATTAGTCTGAACTTGGCTTCAAAGGTCAAAAGTACCAGGAGATCCCATGTTCAAATCCAAAGAGAAATAAAAATCCCCTCGTGGCTACAGAGGTTCAAATGCGATGACTCCGGGCTATCTGCAAAGCATGTGGTTATTCTGAGATTAGTCGGCTCGCATAACGGGTTGGATATCCAGGTTAATAAAAAAAATGCAAATGATTAATTGAAATACAAAATGTATCTAAAAACTAATAGATTTAGATATATAAAATGTATTAACATCTTGACTGCTTAATGGGCCTGAATATTACATAGTTAACATTTTGGTGGATTGATTCGTTTTGACATTGACCTAACCCATAACGGGCCCTACTCGCATCGGTTTGTATAAATATATAAACCAATTAAACTTCAAGTTAGATTGAGTAGGGTTCGTCGTCTATTTTTCGGGTTGGACGGGTTGGCGATTTGGTCGTGTTTTTGTACACCCCGATAAAGTCATAGAATGTCCTATTATTATTCCATATGATATTAAAGAACAAGTGTAATGTAAGATATGTTTATATGACACTTTTGAAAATATCTCGTAAAAGAATAATACGATATTTTATTTTACAAGGTGTCTTGAAAAACTTGTTATAAGTCCAAAAACGTTCTGTTAGTTTATTAGTGTGCTTTACATAGGACACATAATTGTTTGGTTATAAAAATTTCAATTTTAGAAAACAAATCTGTAAACCCGATTTTATTGTAATGGAAAAGTTTAATAATTTTTTCAATGATACTTTTTGTTGTCAAAATCATAATACATTTCTTTTTTTCAAGGGAAAAGTACAATAAAAACCAATGAACTTTCTTGTTTTGAATGATTAAGTCCTTGAACTTTTTTTTGGAACAAATAAGTCCTTGAACTTTCCAAAACATGTTAAATAAGTCCTTGGACAATTTTTTGGCACAAATAAGTCCTTGGACATTCCAAAATATGTTAAATAAG